GGCAGAAAATGTGAGAAGTGTGAGAAACATGAGATGAAAAAGGAAAGAAATATGAGTGAAAAAAAGGAGAGGAGTGTGAGGAATGTAAAGGGTAGGACAGTTGAGTGAAAAGGATGAGAAAACCAAAGTAAAATGATGAGAAATGTGAGTGAAAATAGGAGAGGAAGGTGAGGGGGCAAAAAAAGCAGGAAACAGGAAGGGAAATTTCATAGAAATGTGAGTGGAAAAGGGTGACAAACATGAGGGGGAAAAGGGTGGAAACTTTACTGGTAGAAAGAGATAAAAATATGAGAAATGTGAGGGGAACATTGTGAGAAAACTAAGTGGAAGCAAGGCAGAAAGCATGAATGAAAAAAGGGTGGGAAATATGATGAGACAAGTGTCAGAAAACATGAGTATATATAGGGTAAAAATATGAGGATTAAAGTGCAAGGAAGATGAGGAGGAAAGGATGAGAAATGTGAGGGGAAGGCATAAGAAATGTGAGGAGAAAATGCAGAGAAACATTGGGAAAGGAAGAGAAAGAGGAGAAAAGGGCAGGATATGGGAGGGAGAAATTGTGAGAAATGGAAGGGAAGAAAAAGATAGGACACTTAAGTAGGAAGGGGTGGGAAATGTGAGAAGAAAATGTGCAGAAAGTGAGGGTGAAGTGTGGTAAGCATGAAATAAGAAATGGGGAGGAAACATGAGAGGAAAATTGTGAGCATGATGAGTAGGAAGGGGTGGAAAAATGAAGGTGGAAAGGACAGAAAATGAAAGGAGAGAAAAGGGCAGGAGAGAAGGCACTACAGGTGTAACAGCTGAAATAATTCCTAACAAATCTCCCCAGGTATTTGCACATGCATTTCCCAAGCCCAGGGCTCCCGTGCATATTTGTCTGCACGTTGGCCCTCAATCCTCTTTGGAAGCAGCAGAACTGACAGGATTTGCCCACGAGGAGCAAGGAGCTGCTCCAAGCTGGGAATGCAAGTAGCAGTGCTGATTTCCAGAGGCTCCTGGCTCCCAGGTGAAGGCAAGGCAGACGCAGGTTGAAAGGTGCTGGCGCTGCTGCTGCTCTGTGCCAGAGAGCCCCGGCTGGGCAGGGCACGGCGCCCACTGCACTGCGGGCTCTTTCTGCTGCCAGAGCTGGGCACACCGGGAAACAGGGAATGACCACTTGTGGAAAAACCAACGGCTTTGGGGAGGCACAGGATGTTTTGGCTGCCCTTCTTCTCCTTCAGTTGTGGCTGCAAATGCCATTGCCCTTTCTACCCCAAACAGAAGTACCATGGCTGGGCAAAAACTGACCAGTGGGCTGTACTCTAAAAGGCAATATGATCTGGAGAGGATGAATGAAGAAGAGCCTTCCCCACTTTCAAACCACACCAAAAAGCCATAAAAGCAACTTTTTACCTTTGAGAAACAACTGACAATTCAGAAGGAAATGTTGAGCAAATTCACGGGGTGAGAAAGAAAGGAATTTTCCRGCTGAGTTGGGGTTTCAAAAACTTTATTGATTTACTATCTTACTCTACAATCCTACCAGAATACTACTCTACAATCCTACTCTACAGTCCTAATCTCTGGCATTATTGGAGCTTGTTCTCCTGAGTGCCACTCCAGTCTTATCTCCTCTTTCCACTTGTTTGCTCTCGCGATCAGTGTCACCAGGATGGAGGCGGGTTTGGCTGATGTTACAAATTGTTGCTGCCAAAAGGATAAAAATCCAGCAAAGAACAATGAAGTATGACTTTCAAAAGCAGGGTAAAATTTATAAATGGAAAGGAGATTGAGTCACATTTCGTCCAAGGAGTGTGGTGCAACACTGGCACTATTTCCCCGAGTTCTGATAGGTGCCCCATCCCTGGAAACATTCCAGGTCTGAGCAATCTCATCTCCTTGACCATGTCCCTGCTCATTGCAGGGCATTTGGATCAGATGAAATTTACAAATCCCTGCCAGGCCGGCCCACTCTAGGATTCCTTACCATTTTAACTGCAACAACACCAAGAATGCAGTTGAGGATGTGGGGGGCTCATCTCATACCATGGAGCTCAGTGCAGGAGGAGCCCATCCCTCGGACACCGTTTCACCCGCAGCCCCYTGGCATTTTACCTGCAGGAGCTCCTTGGCAGACCAGCRCCGCTCCTCGTCTCTCTGCAGGCAGCAGCTCAGGAAGTGCCGCAGCAGAGCTGAGAGGAGCTCAGGATGTTGCAGCTCTGGGGCTCCATGCCTGGCTATCAGGCGCTGAGCCTGCAGAAGAAGGAAACACGAGGCTCCACCTGCTTCTTTCCCATCTGTAAATGCTCTCCCAGAATCCTTTGTTTAGGCTCCACCCTGCAGTGGCAGTTTCTGCCCTGGCAAAGGGGCACTGATGACTTTCCTATGCCAACAAAAAATCCAAAACCCTGCTATTGCAACCGGTTTTCAGCATCCAGCTGCTGCCTTGCAAGTTGCCTTGGCAGCTGATTTCACTGGCTGACCTAGTTAGTGGGAGCTACATCAGCAAAAGTGCATTTTGCTTCTCTGAGGATTCACATCAGCTTGACAGGCTGTTCACAAGAGAGACTTTGTTCTAACTGTTTCCAAGGATTATTACATGAAAGGAATCTCTGCAGTGGTTGTTGGTCCCTCAAACACCTTTGATAAAATAAAACCAATCAAGCTTTTTGTCCCATTCTTGAAAATCATGGTAATGGGAAGGAAAAAAAAGGAAATCCCTCWGTTATTCCTCAGGTAAGGAAACAAACATTTCGAACTTCGTGTTCAACTCAGACCCATTAAGATGCATGCACAAATGTAWTGGGATGAAAATGCCRATTTTCACAGACAGGATCCACCTGCAGCTTTGTTTCTCAGCAGTCCCCAAATTTCAGCTTCCCTTATGCAGCAAAAGAAAARSYTGTAGTGCTGTAATCAGAGAAATGAGAAGAGCCATCCCTATGGTAGCCCTCTGCTCACTTAGATACTCAAGTCAATGCATTAATGGTGTGCCCATTGCAGAAAGTGCCAGGCAACAAATGCAGGTTTTGGCAGTTTCTCCATGTCATCAGGCTCCAGCTAAGGGACATGCAGACAGTGGCTTGGACTCGGAAAGAAATATGGTCATTAAGTGTTTCAGCAACAGTGCACAAGAGCACAAGTGACTATAGAGGCCTTTGCACCCTCATGGCCTGGTTTTAGGTACGTTTTCCACGGAGATAAATGGACCTGCAGCTCACATCTGAAAAGCATTGTTTCAAAAACCTTGCTAAGTTTGGGTTTCTTCTTTTCTGAAAATATAACACCAATCCTGAGATGCTTGTTTCTTCTTTTTAGGGTCAGCTTTTCAAACAAAAGAGTTGGAATGACTTAAAACCAAAAGCAAATATTGCCTGGGAATCAGGAATATTTGCATGTGGCAAGGCTTGAGTTCCTCCACTGATGCAAACAAAGCTACAGCAGATGCTGATGYGCTGCAGGTGCATTTTTACAAGTGGACCTTGGTGGAAGTAGTGCCAGCAGATGGCAATGGGATTTTGTGCAGTGAGAGGAGAAGATGGGACAGGTAAGAAAGACAGCGGGATCAGAGAGTATTTGCTCCTTACCAAGGAAGGACTTTCATTGATGTAAGGAACTTMTTCTTCCACCATTTCATAACAGACGATGCCAAAAGACCATATGTCCACTTTGGSGCCATATGGTTTACGTGTCACCATTTCAGGCGCCATCCACCAAGGAGTCCCGATCACRGAATTTCGCTGATTCTGCTCAGGGGTGAGCTGAGCAGAGAGGCCAAAATCAGCTGAGGAGGAAACAGAAGATTGAAAATGGGAAACCAAGCAAAAGAATTGCCTACTCCAAATATGAGAATGTGCTCTAGAAGCTCCTGCAAAACCTGCTGGTTTTGTTTCCTCAGGACTATAGCTAAGGAAATACATACTTGGACACTTGAAAAAAATCACACATTTTCTACACTGCCCTAGCAGAAGCTTTTATTCCCTGGATAAATCADGTTGTAGCTCCCTTCCTCTGAAAGGGACAGTCACAAAGAARTTCCACCCTTGAGTGCCTGTTCCTTTTGAAACCTCTGTGCACTTTGCAACTGTGCCCTCAGAGTGCAGCAGGGGACCCTGCACTGCCACCAACACCATTTTTGGGCAACTGGCAGGCCCAAACCCCACATCCCCAGAATGGTGCATCAGACCAAGAATATACTGATCCAGCTTGACAGAGCCATCGGTTCTGAGAAGAATGTTGCAACTCTTCACATCTCGGTGGATCACGTGGTTGGAGTGAAGAAAATCGAGTCCCTGCAGGCACTGAGAGAGAAAAGAGAAAGAGCAGGATAACAACTAGGGATGTGATTTCATCATCCAAGAAAGGAAACAGCTTTAAAAGATTCCCTTCCCAGGACAGGAATGGGCAGTAATGGCACAACACAGTGCCATTGAGAGGAAGAGTTTGCTGCTCCAACCCTCACAGAGCAGTGCACTTGGAAGGGAAGGCGTGTCAGCTTTTGAAAGAGCAAGAGCAATTGCTGTTCTAGACTATCCACTGCAAAGTAGTCCGAATTATTTCTACTGCATTGGATGTACTCACAAGAAAAGGCCATTTTGGGTGCATCTTTATCCTTTTCATCTGAGGACTGTGAGAAATGAGTCTCTCTTTCTTTGCCATTACTTCCAAATTCTGCCACCAGCATATTTCCCTTTACAGGCAAGGAATGSAGTGCAGACAGGCTGCAGGCAAACATTTAGATAGGCAATGTGCAGAACAGCACAAATACCAGGGACAGAGCGAGAATATGTGAGCGGAAGGTGAGAGGATGAGAACAGAGAACAGTGAATGCAGGGACAYTGKCAGGCARYTCCCTTGAGATGCTCTTGCTTCTCCATAGCACAGCAGCAACACAGAAACAAAGCCTGGCACATGCAATCACTCCGCTTCTCAGCCCCTATTTCCCAGACAATCCCACTCAAGCCCTCAGAAGCACAGATCCCTGATCTCCTGACTGACAGCTGCAATCTCATCTTCAGTCATTTAAGTCTCATTAATTACATCGCTCAGAGTGCCTCCATCCATGTACTCCATAACCAGCCAGAGTTCATTGTCCACAAGATAGCTGAAAGAAGGAAACAAGAATGTATAGATSAATATACATGGCCATGTTKGGTTTTTTGTTGATTCTTGCTTCCACTGCCTTTGAAACAAGGACAGAATGAAAGGAATAGMMATGCCCTCCAGGCTCTGCAGTGTTTGCAATCTCTGCAGTGTCAAGGAGAAAAGCAAACGTGTGGAAAAGGAGTTCTGCCAGATGCCCAGCAAGGGCAAAATGCAGTTTGGTAACAGCCCAGGTAAAAAATTTTTACGTGTTTCTGGAAACAAGGACCTAGTGTTGCCAGTATGCACAGCAATGAAAAAGAGCCGCAACATTCCAAGGGAACTCCTCTCTAGCGTGGTTGATCAGCCCGTAAGAAACTTGGAAAAAATCAACCCTCAAAGCAATGCAGAGGCAGAAAACTTACAGGGTATTGACTTAGTAAGATAGGGGTGATCCAGGTTTTTCAAAAATTTTCAATCTATGTATGCCAGGGAAGACTAATTCAGAGAAAATTGGAGATGCATTGATTGGGGATGATCAGAGAAATAATAAATAATCCATTATTAACAACTTTATTTCCTGCCAGTGACCTAAGTTGCTTTCTAACCTCACATGCTTGCAATACATAAGCAAATATTCATGAGATAAGACCAAAAATACTCTCCTATCTAAATAATTCACAACACTGGGATTCCTAATGTGCTACATGACCATTATTTCATTAATGGTTACTTGCTTCCTCTTCAGTCCTTGAAGATCTGTTTTCTTTATGGCCGCCTAAAATGACATTGAAAATCAGTAACTTGAGAAGTTGGTGGCTCAAATCACAATGCACATGGAGCGAGTGACTTTGGAATGGAACACCTGCACTGTGCCAAAGTGCCTGGTGATTGGACATGGGAGCAATTAGGAACTGACATTCCCACAGGGTATTTCTCTGCTCACTCAGGGACCAGTACAGGACATGTGGCCACTGGCATTTTGCCTTGTCTACCTGGTTACAAAGGTGTCACGACTGTCACACACAAAGCTCTGACCACACTCTCTGCTGCTCTGTCTTAGCTCTAAAGAAGTAATCTGTGCCTTGGTGCTCTGTGGATTCATCCTGGGCTACAAGCAGGGCTTAGGGCTTTTAGGAATGCCTTGCACATCTTTCCCTACGTGTACTTCCCAAATGCAGCACTGCTGGTGGCTGAGGAACTACCACTGAGATTCAGATCTATTTTGTGGCAGCCAGAAATGAGAATTCAGGACTCCTAAGCTGTAGCCCCAAAGAGCAGTGAGATGCTCTAAGGCACCACCTTTCTTTTAGCACTTAAGAGCGAGTAGCACGTCTCTCTCTGGAAGGTGCTGCTTCCCTCCTTGCCTTCCTTCTGGCAGTTGAGAAGGACAAAGACTGTCCTACATGTATTTTGCAGGCTGGCACCAGTCTGTTCTTCCTGCACCTTTGCAGCACAGCTCTACCCATGACCCAAAGCTCCGGCCACCGCTCACAGCAGAGGGGAAAGYSCTCGAGAGCTGCAGAATCTGTGTGGGCTGTTGACATTTACCTCTCCTCCTGTGGCAGTGTCAATTGCTCTGCAAACTCTTCCAAAAGTTCTAGAAACAAAGTCACAGGAAAGAATGGAGAAGCTGTTTAGGCCTTGGAGTGAAAGGCAGCCCAGACAGGAGATCTCTGCTTTAAATGCCTAAACCCTCCAGATGCATCAGGGGTCTGMYRSAAGGCAGGTGATGCATCTTCCTCTCAAGTGCATGGTACTGGGGCTGTTCCTGAAGATATGGGGTTACTGCTTCAGCTCGAAAAGACAGCTTATTATTGCACTTTTGGTTTCAGTTTCTAAACTTTGTGCTTCTAATCCTGGCCACGGAGTATTTCCTTATGGAAATGCTTGGAAAGAAATGTTCCTGGGGAACTATTGTCTGACAGCTCTCAGTGGGTAGGTTGCTCTTTCAGGAAATCGAGATCCTTCACCTTTCATGAATGTGGCCATATGATTTTGAAATATTCAGAAATGCTAAGGAAATGAATGCACAAGTGTCCCACGGTTCAGAGACAGGAGATCTTCCAGGTCCTGTTCCTTGCTGCAGGCAAGAGCTTGGCAGCATCGAGATGTCTTTGACAATGCCTTCTGACCACACTTAGAAACTCTGGGCAGTATTGTGAGGCAGGACAATGTAACCCCAGTGTCTGAACATGTTTGCAGCTTGCCTGACATCACACTTGATAGGCAATGGCCCAGCAAAACACCCGGCCTGTGGTTTTATAGAAATAACTGTGGTTGGACTCACCCACAACCGATACTTTCCAGTTCAG